TGTTACTATGTATGTAGTTAAAGAAACTTTTGTCTATGAAAAGTGTTACTATATAGTTAGTGAAACTTTAGTTTGTGAAAAGTGTGATTATGTAATCAGTGAAACTTCAGCCTATGAAAAGTGTTACCATGTATGTAGTTAAAGAAACTTTTGTCTATGAAAAGTGTTCCTATATAGTTAGTGAAACTTTAGTTTGTGAAAAGTGTGATTATGTAATCAGTGAAACTTCAGCCTATGAAAACTGTTACCATGTATGTAGTTAAAGAAACTTTTGTCTATGAAAAGTGTTACTATGTAGTTAGTGAAACTTTAGTCTGTGAAAAGTGTTACTCTGTAATCAGTGAAACTTTCGTCTATAAATACAATACCATATAGTCAGATAAACGTTACAAAAAGTGGTTCTCCTATTTCATTTTATGCCTTACATTCTGAGTACAAACATATAAATCAGCAAGCAGTGACTAAATCGTTAGTAGATACTAAAAACCTGATAGTCAACAACGTGACTGACCGAAACGCCTAATTTGTTAGCTCCAAATTGAAACACTTTTCGCATAAGTCGAGGTAAAAAGATAACCTCAAGTTTTCTGGAACACTTTGTAAATTAAAGTAACGTTACAACAAGTTGAATGTTAAGTTGGTTTTTAGTGACTTGGCCTAACTTTGCTCTTATGTGGTGTAGTCGTTTAAAAGTGAATTAAGAGTTGATTGTTTCACGTTCATATCTTTGTTGGTACCATGAATACGCCTAACGCAACAATTCAAATATACATATATACATGCACACACACACATATATATATATAAGCATCAAGTTTAGTAATGCCAAAAATGATGGGCCTGACATAACTATTTTAACGTAGCAACAACTGCATTGTTAAAACAAAGAACTATTTATGCCCAGCAACAACTGCAATTATTACTAGGTCAAAATAGTTCTTTGTTTTAACAATGCAGTTGTTGCTAAGTCAAAATAGTTCTTTGTTTTAACAATGCAGTTGTTGCTAGGTCAAAATAGTTCTTTGTTTTAACAACGAATTGTTAAAACAAAAAACTATTTTGACAATAGCAACAACTTCACTTAAAAAAAAGAAATTAGCATTTCACGTAAAAATATTACTCCTCAACCGAAATCGTGCTTTCAACCTAACGTTGTTAGTTTTCAGAAATATCTTGATATTACCATCTTCTCTTTCATATTAAATTTTATTAGATGACAAACTAACATAATGAATAAAATTAGTATTCCAAATACTAAGTTTATTTATTATGTCTGCTATTGTGCGGCTATATAATGTGAAGAACTGAATAGTGGCCAATGACACATTTTCTTCAATTCACCTATCTAGTGAATATGTTTTTCTCATAGTGCTTAAAAAGCACGTTCACACCAATAGTATGTTTGAAACTAACATACCCTAACCAAGAAACCTTTGATAACAAAACATTCTGCAATAGCTTACTCACACTTATCTTCATCTGAGCCATCCGCACAGTCAACAAAACCATCACAAATCAAAGTAACACTTCGGCATTCTTCTTCTCTCCCACACTTGAACTTGCCTTGTTGACAGCAAAAATATTATGGTAAATTAAGTACAGTTTTTGTACTACGAGTCTACACTAAAACATTTATCCGAAACTCGTTTAATGTTTGTCTCACAGGCATTTTAAAGCATTAAACAGGATTATCTTCAACAAATGAGTAATATCAAAAATATATCTAAATTGTCATATCCTGATCATCGTATTCATTGGGATGACATTTGTACAGTTTACTTATGTTGGATTTCAAAATAACGTTATTGAATTTTTTAAAACTTAAAACTGAAATTACTTAGCTTAGCCACATTTTCAAGGATCCGAATATAGAACCTACCATCTCCACAGCTTTCTTCTTTTCCAGTTCTGTTTCCCTTTGTCTCTCTCCACGTAGATTTTGGTTCTCCCAAAAGCAATGATTCGTTTAACAGTGACATCAGAAGATTTTCCGACACATCCTCAGAAAAATTAGACCAAACCCTTTGTACTGGTGAAATTACTTGTTCGGATAATTTAGTTACATTGTCACTGCTTTTTAAAAAAGTTCCGTTAAGTTTTAATTGTTTAGATGTACTTCCACTACTGAACACAGAAGTGCCATTTAAATTGGACTGGTTAATGACGTTTTTGCTGCTTATCCTAGACGTTTCATTGAAATTAGACGGAGTAGTGGTGTTTTTACTACTGGATCCCGACGTTTCGTTGAAATTAGATGGATTAATGAAGTTTTTACTGCTGAATACCCATGTTTCGTTAAAATTAGATATATTAGTGGAGTTTTCATTGCTAAACTCGATCTTTTCACTTAAATGTAATGCATTAGATTTAGTTTTATCACTTTTGTTTGCTCTAGACGAGTCCGTAAAGTTTTCACGGTAGAACACTAAAGTTTCGTTGACTTTAGATGAGTCCGTGAAGTTGCCAGTGTCAATCACAAATGTTTTGGAGTCTATGTCAGAAATTAGTTCTTCATATTCACTAATTTGAGTGGTCAATTCTCTATTGTTTGACAAGAACGAGAGGTTGGTGGTAGTTAAGTTATTAGTTTGGGAACTCTCGGAATCTTTGACAGTTTGGTTCTTTTCAGAAGTCCCTATTATGGATTGTTGGGAAAATAAAGATGGCAACGAATTTTCTTCTTCTGTCTCTATCCTAGTTGTATTCCAAGCAAGAGTTTCGCTATCAACTTCTTCCTTCTTAGGAAGATCAGTAATTGGTCTTATGTCTTCATAAGTTAAGTGACTTGGACCAACCGAAGATGCACTTGTTACGTTAGTGGTATATTTTTGTTCAAGAATTGTAGGTGTTGTTGTTTCGATGTTGTTGAAATCCTTCCCAGAAAGAATATTCATTGGGTTATCTAAAACAGTGTTTTCTACTGAAAACTCTTTTGGAATATTATCCTGAGGACTGGTCAGTGTGCTACTGCTGGAAATCTTAGTGCTGTTAGTAAATGAGTCAATCGCTGTCAGTGCATCCGTTTCTTGAAGTTCAAAACTTGGTCCGTTGATTCGATCTGCAGGAAATGTTTCTTGTAGTCCACGTCCTTCTAGAAAGGTCCATGTATGAGTTTCTGTGACGGCAATAGTATCATTATTTGATGTTGTATTAATGTCTTCTGTTGGTATCAAAGTGGCATTGATATGTTGTAGTGATGTATTAGTCCAAAATGAATCTCTATTGTTCTTTCCACTAAAACTTGTATTACTTAAAACGAAGGTGTGGTTAGTTAGCTGTAGGTTTTTTACCAATATGGCGTCATTATTGGTAACACTGGATAAGAAGGAAGAGTTATATTCATCTTGAACATTTAGCTGGGTGGTGTTTGTGAAGGAAACAAATGAAGAACCACTTTCTGGTGAAGGCTTATTTGTAAAAGTGTTTGGAGTACCTCTTTCTACTAAATATTCTTTTCCAGTAGTTTTCAATGAAATAATTGTCTGGATATCTGCTGTTATATATTCTTCTGTGAAAGCTTTTAGTGACTCTTTTTGAGACTTGCCTTTTGGTAAAGTGTCTTCTGGAGTAGTTGTTATTAAAACAATTACAGAATTACCTTCTCGTAAACTTTCTTCTGTGGTAGTTGTTAATGAACCAGTCCGAGATTTTTCTTCTGGTAAAGGTTCTTCTGTGGAATTCGTATGAGAAACGATCGTAGAACTACCTTCTGTAAAAGGTTTTTCCGTGATAGATGATAGTGAAGCAGTATGAGAACCACTTTCCAATAAATATTCTTCTGTAGTAGTTGCTAACGGATCAGTCCGAAAATTACTTTGTGGCATAGGTTCTTCTATGGTAGTTTTTAATGAGCTGGTTTGAGAACGAGTTTCTAGTAAAGGTTTCTCTGTAGTAGTTGTTAACGATTCAGTCTGAGAATTAGCTTCTGGTAAATGTCCTTCTGTGGTAGTTGTTAGCGAACCAGTATGAGAACCAGTTTCTATTAAAGGTTCTTCTGTAGTAGTTGCTAAAGAATCAGTCTGAGAACTACCATCTGGTAAAGGTTCTTTTGTGGTAGTTGTTAGTGAATTGGTCTGAGAACCAGTTTGTTGTAAAAGTTCGTCTGTAGTAGTTGATAAAGAATCAGTCTGAGAACTACCTTCTGGTAAAGATTCTTCTGTAGTAGTTGTTAGTAAGATAGTAATAGAATTTTGTTCTGGTAAATACTCTTGCGTGGTAGGTGTTAGTGAACTGGTCTGAGAATCACCTTCAAGTAAAAGTTCTTCTACGTTAGCTGTTATTGAACCAGTCTGAGGATTACCTTCTGGTAAGTATTTTTTTGTGGTAGTTGTTGATGAACTGGTCGTAGAAGGTAAAGGTTCTCCAATACTATTTGTTAGTGGACTGGTCTGAAAATCACCTTCTGATAAAGATGCTTTTGTGGTAGTTGTTAGTGAAATAGTTATAAAACTACGTGGTGGTAAATGCTCTTGCATGGTAGATGTTGGTGAACCAGCCCTGGAATTACCTTCTAGTAAAGGTTCTTCAGTAGTAGTTGTTAGTGAAATGGTTTGAAGATTACTTTCTGGTGAGAATTCTTCAGTGAAATTTGTTGGTGAAACAGCTTTAGAACTACCTTCTGGCAAAACATTTTCTGTAATAGTTATTAGTGAACCAGTCTGAGTATTATCTTCTGGTAAAGGTTCTTCTGAAGAAGTTGTTAGTGAAACAGTTGTAAAACTACCTTTAGGTAGAGACTTTTCTGTGGCAGTTCTTAGTGAAGAAGTTGTTGAACTATTTTCTGGCAAAGGTTCTTCTGCGGTAGTTAGTACAGAACCAATCTGAGAACCTCCTTCGGGGGAAACACTTCTCACAGTGGTTGATAACAACGTTGTTATGTTATTACTCTCAGATAAAATATTTTTTCTATGAGCTGGTGTCAAAGTAGTTGTAGAATTCCCCTCTGTTAAGGCTTCTTGTTGGAAATTACTGTCGTTGATAAAGGAGTGTTGAATAAAATTTATAACTTCTGGTTCGTTTGATTGGACTACCGACTGATCATCATCGATAGTGACCTCTGTTGGTTTAGTCACTCCCATTGAATCTTTCATTTTGTATTTAGGGATTCCCATTGGATTCGATGAGACTTCTGTATATTTGCTGTCATGAAAAGTGGTGGTTAGTATTTTATCTTCTTCTTGAGACACTGCTGTAGCTACAGATGAAAGTGTGGTTACACTTGTCTCATCGTTAAGGTATATAGTCGTATCATCTGTTACAAACGATTTAAGAACACCTGTGTTTTCAATAATATTTTCAAACTGATCGTTGGCAGACGTGAAGGGAGTTGTCTTGATCGTAATGTTCTGAGTTGAACTTCGGTCTCCACCTCCGAGAAGGAAGTTCGAGGAGGTCGTAGTGCTTTCATTCTGTGTTTGTTCAACTAACGAATTTGCATAGGTAGTGGCTACTTCCTCACGTTGCAAGCTTAAAACCGTTGTCACGTCTTCTGACGTTTGGGCTTCAGTTGCGTTTGTAAAAGATGTAGAATGTTCAGGGAAAGTCTCTAAAGTTTCTGAAATACCTGTGGAATCTTCGGAGGAAAGAGTTGTGACTCTGTCATAACCTGTTTTGTCAGTCTTATTAGCATCCATACCAGTAGGTTGTACATTAAATCCCATTGCTTCCCAAGCTGACTTGTACCCATCTTCTCCGTGAATAAACTCTTTTTCGTCACTTCTTACAACAGCAGTGGTTTGGTTGTTGTCCTCAAAAAGTGAATCGATGGTTAAATTATAAATGGACTGAACAACTTCCAAATTTTTAGAATTCGTTACAGTATACGCATCAGTAGTCTCAGAAGTTGGACTTTTTTCTGATGCGATTGCAGTGGTGACGTCAGATTTTTCGCCATTCAGTAATAAGGAACTATCTGTATTTGCGTGGAAAGATGCAGTAGTGGATGTGAGCATGTCAGTAATTTTTCTCGATATTGTTGAGCTTTCTGTTGTTGTTTCGTAAGCTAAGACATTTTTTCTATTTACGGTCGAATCGATTATTGTTGTCTTGAATGTTGGAGGTGATTTAAACAATATGTTTTCACTAACTGCAGAAGTTTGGTTGCCAACAAGAATTGTAATATTTTCTATTGTACTAGCAGTAGTAGAGACACTTTCCTGAGTAGAGGGAGACAACATTTCTTTTGTCATCGTATGACTAAACACTCCATCTGGTGGCGTATATATGTTTGGTTTGAAGGGGTTGGAAGGTACCACTGAAGACATAGCTGGAAAATAAACAATCACTATAATTTTTGTATTTCAACAAACCGTACAAAATGATTTTGATCTTGAGTTTACATATATATATATATATATGATTAACATAACATTAAAAGCAGATTCCTGAAAGTTTGTAATTTTCGTTAATTTCAGCTCAAAGGGAAGTGGGTATATTAATCTTGGTCGAATAAACCTTTGTTAAATAATGTTGCACAAGAAACAGACATTCAGTTAGGCATTAGGTACTTTTATTGATTCTCTGCTCACTAAACTGTGGAGAAACAACAACTCAGCATCAAACTAAAGATACTTTTTATGAAGTTTTAGAGTATTTGACTTAAGTCAAGCAAAATGTATATAAAGTGACAAATCGGGGAAGTACTTTCGTCAGTGCATGTTTGGCCATCGTTTTCAAGCTTGTAACCCTCGGAACAGGAACATGTTTTCACCAGTCTTGAGTCACTCCAGAAGCATTGGTGAGAGCAGCCGCCATTTTGAATCTGACACTCGTTAAAAACCTCTGAAAATTTATCAAAATGTAAAAGTCTGTAACTATACAAAATAGTTTTGATATATATGGCTTAAATAAACATCGTAATAAAGATGGTGATAATCCTTAACCTTAATATGTCCAGAAAAATATAAAAATACTACACTGATAGCAAATTTTTCACTACATTTCAAAAGCAGTTGCTCAAGAGGAATGACCCGAAATTTAGAATCGCATCTTATGTTACATAAAACATAATTTGAAGCATTGCCTTTCATTGGCATATACAGTTTTGAAAATAATTATGGAATCGGTAAGGAAAAACACAACAAAAAAAACATAATGTGGGAATACCTACACTTTCACTTTGTGGAAATGAACTGCATCAAGAAAACAATGACGCATTTGATACCTTACATTGTGATTGGTTGTCATCCAACCAATCAAAAATTGCCACAGCAGTGTAAAGCTCATAAAAGTTCAGGTAGTCATACTTGACACAGTAGAAGTAAAATGCTCCAGTCATGACTTTTGGCACTGAAATACCACATGATAAGCTTGTATAAATCAAAGTATTGGTTGTGTTCAAAGATACTTCAAGCAAAACGGTGTGGGAATATTACATGTTTCAATAGGATCTGTTGTATGCATGACTCTGAAAAGGGTACGTGAAACTAGCACTATTAATAATAGCATTGTTTTTAAAGTAAATGGTGCAGACTAGAATATCGTAGACATTTTGTAAATATAATGATCCTCATCTCCATGTGAATAAAATATTCATTTTTGTAAATATTCTATCGTTTGAGTTTTCCACATTAATCAAGGGTTAATCTGCTGACGAGGCTTAGCAGTAACTGTAAAGAAGACTTGGGAGATTTGAATGCGTCTATATAGAAAAGTAGTACGTGATCCTATTACGTGTTACAATAATAATTGTTTCAATAATAAAGTAAAAGTTTGCCCTTTTTTAATAAATATAAAAATCGAGTGTGAATGTTATCTCGAGAACAGTACCCAATACTGAAAACTGCTGCTGAAAAAAAGTAACCAACCAAAGAGGATGAAATGGCAATTGTGCTACAAACAGTGTAATGAGCAAAGTAGAAGACTTGTGCTTTTTACACATGACTCCGAATTTGAATTGTTTGACATAAATCAACGATAGTTTGTTCGGCTGTGGTTAGGAGAATTGTATTACAGTCAGTACAATATGTAAAATAAAACACGGTGGGATGTCACTACGAGCTTGAAGCTGCGTCTCGACCTAAGGTGTCTTGACTGCTTACAAGTACCTGATCCATTATGCCAGTTCCTCAGAAACACAGCTTATCGAACGGAGATTCGTCTTCCAGCAAGACAACGGTCTCGGGTAAACAGAAAATCTGGTAGAATTATACCTTGAATGTAACGACAACCATGGTTTGGCCTGAACAACATGTTCCAACATGAACATTCGTGAGGCTGATTGGCATTGTTGAAAAACTGAAAAGGTCAAAAGGCAACCAAACAGCTTCACAGGACATTTGGAACAATATTCTACAATCATTGAAAAACAACACGTTCCAACCTGAACATTCGTGAGGCTGATTGGCATTATTGAAAAACTGAAAAGGTCAAAAGGCAACCAAACAGCTTCACAGGACATTTGGAACAATATTCTAGAATCATTGAAAAACTGTATGGCAGCATAACAAAGACGCAATGCTCTGTGTAAGAGTCGCGGTTTCGAATCCCTGCCCCACCAAACATGCTCGCCCTTTCAGCCGTGGGGCGTTATAAGTGACGGTAAATCCCCCTATTCATTGGTGACTCCTTTATGTGTATCGCTTGTGTATTTCCGTTACTGTAATACTAGCAGATAGTTCTGTTTTGAAGAAACACTCTTTGATTATGTGATTGAAATTATTTCATGAGATACAATTGGGAACAAAGGATTTCTTTTTTTTTTCGCACATATTTTTTTAGCAAAAGTGTTTCGAGCTGAAACATCAAAATATTTTAAAGTCATAATAAAGTTACTGAACAATAAATTCGTTACTTGATCAACAAGTTTTGTACTTTTTGACTTGTTAATAAAAAAACTGAAGAAATAATTCATAATTATCGTCAATAACTCAAATAAAGACTAAGTTAAAATATCTGACTTGGCTAGGCGATAAACTGAAATAGGAAAGCGAAATAAAATTTCAGGATGGAAAACGAGATAACAAAATTTAAAGATTCAGACATGTTAAAATATTTGATTAAAGTTTCCTTACCTTCTACTTTCACAGACAGTGAACTGATGTGGTGTCTGGCCATGATTTCGTCATTTACCTGTAGGTAGCGTTGTAAAGCTTTCTGAGCTGCTGGTGCAGAGAGTGCATGGGTTTGGTTCCAAGTCGCTGTAAAGCGAACCAAGACATTCCGAGGCCTGTGTAATCAGCGGGGATGTATCTCATGCATAAAGGTTTTTTTCGCATAACTTCTAAGTATTTGCTCTCTTGCTATTTGATAACTTCTTAAAGTATTAGATCCTTACTAAATCCACAAGTTTTACGCTATGGTTAATGGACTGAATTTTATATATGTTTTGTTTTATAAATATTATATTAAGTGGAACGTTTAGGCTTATTGAAATACTATAAAACAAAACTCCATCAGAATTATTTCCTTTGAGTAAATAATGATTCTTTTACTAGAACCGGTATTTATTTCACGCGAAATATTATATTAAGTAGAATGTTTAGGCCTATTGAAATACTGGTGTGAAATAAACACCGGTTCTAGTAAAAGAATCATTATTTACTCAAAGGAAATAATTCTGATGGAGTTTTGTTTTACAGTATTTCAATAAGCCTAAACGTACCACTTAATATAATATTTCGCAAGAAATCAATACTAGTTTGAGTAATAAAAAAAAAGTTACTTACTCAAAGGAAATAATTCTGACGGAGTTTGGAGCGCTCCCTTTATCAGTGAAGATTTTCTTTAACTAATTAAAGAAAAAGAAAAATTAATCATCAAACTGAACTAAACAAACAATTTACCAACTTTCCGTCGACGTGTGTAATGAAATAAAATAAACCGATTAAAAAGATAAGAGAAATATAGTATTTAATTTGACGCATTTTATTCTACTAGTATTAATTATTTACAAGCGGTAGTAATCAAATGTTTTAGAATACAGTCAAATGTTAATAAAGCTCATGTGAATTCATTTAAAACAATCAAATGTTTAAAAGGAAACTTTAGCGGTTAGTATAAATAATGTGACTGGGTTCGCACTTTCTGTAACTTTGAACGTTACGATTCACTGTACACAGATCGGATCTATAAAGGCTTAAGACTTTAACTTATGTCAATAATAAAGTATCGTACTGCGTCCTTAAAAGTACTCCAGCGGGACAGCAGTAATTCTACGAACTTACAACGCTTAAATCCGGGGTTCATTCCACGCGGTGAACATAGCAGAACTGTGGCTTAGCTCTAAAAAAAAAACAAAAACATAACACATAACCGTTTAAAAAAAAAGAATTTG